AAACAATGCTAAGATGCACATTCTTTGCACAAAAGCCCAATTATTTACTTAAAATAAGTTCTTAGGGGTGCAATGCTGGGAATCAACATTTTATGACCCATAATACCAAACTGCACTCTTCACATCACCTTTACGTTGTAGCACTTAAAAAGCTCTCTGCAGGAGCGCCTGGGTGGCTCAGTTGGTTAGGCATCTACCTTTGGCTCAGGTCATGATCCCAGGGTCCTAGGATGGAGTCCTGCACTGGGCTCCCTGCTCAGTGGGGAGTCTGCTTCTCCCTCTACCCCTTCCCCCCTGCTTGTGATCTCTCTCTCAAATAAATAAAATCTTAAAAAAAAAAAAAAACTCTCTGCACACAGTAGTTGCTGGTAGCTGATGAATAATGAACAAAAGATGTTTACATATGAAGTCACTAATCCCTACTTACACACACTGCCTTTCTAGACTGTGGAACCAATGTAAACTACTGGAAGCAATATGAGGCGGTAGAAAGATTTTACAAAGACTTGAGTTGCAGGCCCAGCTCTGTGTATCCTCACATAAATCACTTTAGCCTTGTTTCCTGATTAATCTATCCTAATTTCTCAAGCTTATTGAGAAATTTTAATAAAAAAAGGATAGGCAAAAAGATTCTATAAAATCAATCCAAAGGATTATATGGATATGTTTTATTAATCCAGTGCCCTAAATCAAGTGAAATTTAAGATGCTAGACTGACTTGCCTCACAATCTCATCATCAAACAAACCTTGCTGCTGTTCCTATTCTTATTTTCCAATTTCAGTAACCAAACTCCTATCCCTTTCCCTATACCTCAGTTTGCTGCCTGGTTCACTACAAATGGAAAGAGATCCCACTCTTACCTCCTAGTTCCTGCTATCTAGAATTCTATCCACTGCCTGATACCTCCTACCTTTCAAATGTGATCTCAGCCTGTCAAGTCCTCTCTGACTTTTTCCCAATGCCTATCCTCTTGTAATCATGGCCAGCCTTTGGCTCATCTGAATACCAATTTTTCAGTTAACAACATAAACAACAGGCAACACCAACACTCAAAATTTCTTGCTACTGGAGGGGACACCAAATTTTAATAAGCTCAGTAAACAAGTAAGTATGAACCAGAATCAGATGTTTCTTAGTTCCAAACAATCTTTTCTAGATGTATTACTCACTTACCCCTTCAGAGATCTTATTATCTAATCAAATGGGGATACTGATTTCTTCTGAACATATCCAACCATATCTTTGCTCAAAAAGTCCATTCTATACAGAGTGCTCTGGTCTCTCAATTTACTTTTTCCAAACCCTATGGTACTTCCCTTAAGTTTTTCTCTGGTTACCATAACTTGAGTGACCTCTTCCTCTGAATTCCCACAGCCCTCTGCTAAACATCTTTTATGACACTATTATTTTATTATGTTACAGATCTAATTTCTTCCACTTTAGATATGTGGTGTCCAGTATGTAACCTGCAGCCACATGTGGCAACTGAGCACTTGTAATGTGGCTCGTCCAAATTTTATACTTGAGATTACTATGAAAATAGAATGCAAACTATGCCATTAAAATTTAAGTTGATTACACATTAAAACAAATTTTTGGTGTATTAAATAGAGTACGTTACTAAAATTAATTTCACCTTTTTTCACTTCTTAATGTGTCAACTAGAAAATTCAAAATTACACATTTTTTTACTGGACAGTGCTGCTTTTGGCTGGTGCCACTGTAGAGTTTAGCAGGCTTTTATTTGCAATACAGGATCTTGGATCTTGGGAAGGGCTGAAATCAAGATCAAATCCACTCAACAAGCTATGCACCTTGCAGAGGTGCTGTGTCTGTTCAGGGGGAATAAACCCACTGCTTCACTCAAAGATGCTGTCCCTTACCAAACTGCGAACTCTAAGAGCTCTATGTATCCAAAAGGGCATAACTTTTTCTTTTTAAAAAAAAAGATTTTATTTATTTATTTGACAGAGAGAGACACAGTGAGAGAGGGAACACAAGCAGGGGGAGTGGGAGAGGGAGAAACAGGCGTCCGGCGGAGCAGGGACCCCGATGCGGGGCTCGAACCCAGGACCCTGGGATCATGACCTGAGCTGAAGGCAGACGCTTAACGACTGAGCCACCCAGGCGCCCCAGGGCATAACTTTTTCTAATTTGCACAGGCATCATATAAGCTAGCAGTAGCCCCAAGATGGGGGACCATGTCTTACTCATTTTCTACCTGCCACATACTAGTTACTAAAAGTAGTTGAATGAAGGATGGATGAACACACAACTCTACTAGCCCTTTTCAGACACACCTCTTCTTACCATGTGATGACAACATATAACACTTTATCTGGCTAAAGAATATAGCTCTCACTAGTGCCTACCACAAATCAAAATCATTCATTAGCCTTAAGTTTTCCTCTCTTAGCCATTATAGCACCAAATAAAAAATTAATAATCATTTTATGGCATTTTTTTCTTTCACAGCTTTATACTCCCAAATAAGCATTTGATCATTCCCATTATATTATGAAAATACTATATATGCTTTCTTAAAAAAAAAATCAGTATAAAAATAAATAATGTAATATCAAAGAACCTATAATTCTTTCCAACCAACCTGATTGCATTTCTCTTCTTGTCTCGGAGTACTTGACCTTGGGAGATTTCACAGTTTCAGAGGGGCCCAAGTCTCCTGTGCTTAGTTTTCCTTTGGGACATGAGTCTGTACAGTGCTGAACAATGCTTTTCTTCTCTGTTGCACTTTTTTGTGTAAATTTTTCTCTGTCTTTCTTGGGACTTATTTTTGAATCTACCTTCTCAGATTTGCATGACTTTTTCATTTTCTGGATTCTGTCAGAGTTATCTGAATCATTTTTATCTCCAGAATCCTTTAGATTAATTTTCTTGGTTTCTTTCTTTTTCTCCTCAACTAGATTTTTTGATTCTATTTTGTTGTTAGTCTGGGGTTTTTTCTTCTTCATTTTCTTTTGGTTCAGTGCTTTATCATCTTCATCAGATAGATCTGAATCAGAATCTGAAAGGTCGTAAAAACGTTTCAAGTCCTCTGTAGTGCTGTGGTTGATGGGGCGTCCTCTTTTATCTACAGCATAATTCAACTTGAACCTTTTGTCATGAAACATTGCTCGAAATCTCTTGTCAATTTTGACTTTTCGATCCTTTTCTGGCATTTCCCAAAATCTTGGGTCTTTTGTAACCCTCCTAAACCGCTGGTCACTCATTATTTCTTGTTTGGATGCCATTTTTAAATGCCTGACTGGACAAATGCTTGAAGAAATAAAATCCTAAAAAGTAAAACAAATATTACAATAATGGATTAGTTAAAAAAGATGCTTCAGGAAAAAATGCTAATTCACAATATATTCTAAGTTAAATATAAATAAAGGTAACACATCCAATTTCATTTCCCAACTTATTCTGAGTCACATTCAGAAAAACAAAAACTATCAGACTATCCTCTTTTGCTTATAGAGCATTTGGAGGAATAAATTTAAGACAAAACCAAGCAGAATTCCAGGGCTTTACAGAGGGAGACAAACGCTTACTAGCCAATTGCACTCACTTAGAATTTCTACATTTCTTTTTGTATACCTGTGTACCTGTTACAAGTTAAAAGCTAATGTAATCAAAAGCTTCCCAAGCCTCAGTTGGTCCTATTTGTCTCTTCACATTCTGGTCCCATTCTTTCTGTTAGTCCTTACTTCATGCTACTATTCTACAAGCCTA